CCCCAGTCCAGGGAATGAAAAGGTAAGTCCACCCAATCAATCTTTAACATGTTCCCATTCTGCAGCTTCTAAACTAATATCGTAGATTATATAGTGTTTCTGCAATTCAAACGAAGGAATTGTGAACTGTCATTCAGCTCCCCTGGGTTGGAATATTTCTTGACATAACATAACATGTGGTTGAGGAACTAAATATGAGTTCAGTGATTGATGGGAAGCAGTAAATCCGCAAGCATTTTTTCAGTTCATTCAGTAAATCTCTGAGATGGTAGAGAAAACATGATTTTCCTGACTATTTGTGAACAGACAATCGTTACCTTCCTTGACTACAAATTTAAGCAGTTTCTTTGCTTGTCAACATCTGATTCTCCACAGAGAGCCACATTAATGAATCTCATCTGTCAGAAGAGTAACAAACACAAAGTCATCAACCAGATCAACTTCCCACAGTTTAGGAAGGAGATGCTGTGTTTTTGCCAGAAGCTCTGCCCTTTTACTGTCCCTTTTCTTCACAAGGTTTGCACACTGACAATTGAGTTTAAGACACCGCCTCTTGGACTTTTTGTTTTGAAGATGGTAGTATAAATATATGTGTGCTTAACAGGCTGCATTGAGCCTTGTTGAGTCACGAATTGAAGTTGAACGTGATGGAGCAGTGAGGAGCGACGAGCAGGAGGAAGCCAGTCCGTCATACAGCCCACAAGTAAACGGCTTTCAGTTCAGATCAAGGTAAGGAAAGTTTCAACTGCTTTTATGTTCTGAAATCTTTCTAATGACCTCTTTTGATTTTATTATTATTTATGCAGTGTTTATCTTGCCAGAGTTACTACACTTTTAAAAGACTTTAACCATATGAAATTTAATTTGACTAATGACATTAGTGTCACACCTTTCCAGTGACTGGAAAGGTGTGACACTAATGTCACACTGGAAAGGTGTGACACTAATGTCACACTGGAAAGGTGTGACACTAATGTCACACTGGTAAGGTGTGACTTTCCACCTTTCCAGGTCACACCTTTCCAGTGACTGGAAAGGTGTGACATTGATGTTATCTATATTTTATATAAATTTTATTCCATATCTTATTGTCAACATGATAAAAATCTAAGTTTCTAAAAGCAACTTTTTGTGTTTTTTAGATAAAAGGCATACCTCAAATTTGTGCATTCATCTGTCCTTTCATTTGCTTTTGTCTATCTGTTCTATTATCCATCCATCCATCCATCCATCTATTTTTCTTTTCATCCAACTGTTTGTGCATTCTAATGTCTGAATTTTGCCATTTCCATATTTAGTAACTATCTGCTCTCTAAATTTGAGATTCTATTAGATTTCAGAACTTTTTTGGGAATCCTGTTGTGTGGTTTTAAAACTTCAGTCATTTTTTTTTTCTTTTGGTTCTCTCCCACACCTTTCAGAAGGTCTATATTCATCCAGAAGAGCAAACTCGAAGTAGCCTACAAAGCCCTGGCTCAGTGCTTGGAAGAAAAAACATTTTCTGACTTGGAGCAAGAAGTGGAGGAAGAATCTCAGAAAAGAGTGTGCCTCAGCCTGGAGAGATGCACTGATTCTGTTAGAGGCGCCACTCAGAACTCAGAGCAAGAAGCCCTGTTTCAGAGAAAGTCAGTCAGCCCTATGGAAGCTTTCCCAGCTGACCAGATGACACAGACGGGCGGAGGGCGCCAAGCAGCAGCAGGGTCACTCTCAAAGACTCTCTACACGGTGGCCCGGTTTGTGGTCGAGCCGGACAGCCAGCCGAGCTCACAGTGCACAACGGCTACCGAGGACCTGGAGGTCGAGACGAGGACAACGGACTCTCCACAGATGCCGTCCCCATCAAATCAAGAGCTGAGCACCCTGCAGTTCTCAAATTCAGAAAGAGAACATTCGAGGCCCAGGAGAAAGCTTCCCAGGCGCGGCAGCAATTCAGCGAGCAGGTTAGCTTACCTCCATCTTCCTCTGTTAGTTGCTGCTTTTACATTTTATCCCAACATGTCTGCTTTCTCTTCTTTCTTTAAGAACTGTATGTGGATTAAAAAAACATATGTTTTTCAGAGCTTCAACTAGTTTCATCGAATGCTCATCAGACAGTGAAGGGGAAACCCCACCGAGTGGGAAAAAAGAACTGGAGCGGCCGAATGAATCATCCAGCAGGTACGTCCAAGTGTAGTGTCGCCTCACACTGACCTGACTTCAGGGAGTCCCAAAGATTTAGCAATTTTTCAGTTTGCAGTATTAGTCAGAGTAACATCTGAGTAAATTAAAATATCACTGAAAAGTTTTTACATTTCAGTCATTCGAATACAGAACTGAAAATCATGTATATTACAGATTTATTACACACACAATATTTAGCAAATGCTTATTTCTGATCATTTTGATGATCATAGCTTATATATTATGAAATCCTATCATTGAGTTTTCTGTAAAATCATTAAATGAAATCAAGTCAAAAATTTTATTGCACGGTACTGAAAAAATGTCTGGTCTGAACACTCACTGTCACCCTCTACAATTTCCAATAAGAAACGTTTATTAAGATTCCAACGTTAGTTTTGAACTAAATCACTGCATGAGTTCAATCTACTCATTGTCTGGCTGATGTCATCTGTTAAATAGACGAATATTTTCACTGTTGTTATGCTAAAAACATTGATTTACTTCCATGGCAGACAAGCCGACAGATCCAGAGAAGCGTCAGAAATCAAGGACGAGCAACAGGCGCACACAAACGTCTCCAAAAGTCCAAAGAAGCGACCGCTCAAATGGATATCCAAGAGTTCTAAAGCATGGTGAGAGGAATCACGTTATACATATGTTTAATGTAGTGTAAAATCTGAGTTGACTCAGGTCTGTGTGGGGAAACCTTTACTTCATCTTAACCAGTGACCCGAGCAGTGGAGAGCATGTTTGTATGTCAGACTCTTCGTTGGACACGTCGGCTGATGTGTCCTCTCCTGACGCTGTCCCTCAGAAGAGCTCCACTCCTCACAAAGATGGTCAAAGCAAGATTCCCATCAAATCGCTTTGGTTAGTGAAGCAGAGATAATCAGCTGCTGTCAGTTAATGAACATAAATGTGTCTTCATCCTTATCTGAAAGTGTAAAATCACCACATTGACTCTTTTTTTTGTATTTATATAAGAATTGATATATTATAAACTGTTATACGTTAATCAATGTCCTCTGCCATGTCGTTGTTTAATCCTGCATGTTTTTATTATGGGAAGTTTTTTGCTTTGCCAGTAAGAGGAAAAACTCAGTTTCTTAAAAGCTTCTTCATCTTTACAGGAGAGGACACAAAAATATAACGGAGGAAAAGGAGACATGGATCGATGAGGACTCCCTTTTCCCCTCCATAAAGAAAAGAGGTAATACTTCCTCAGCTATCAGAATCTAATCGATGCTAATCTGACTGTGAAAATCTAACAATATAAGCATTATTTATGTTTTCTACTACAGGATCAGGATCAAATGAAAGCACCATCTCAAATTCAGGAAACAGAAGGGTAAGCAATACGTTAAATAAAACAGTCAACTGAAAAGAATCGGTGCTAACTTAGGTTTTCGGTGTAGAAGTTCTTGCCCCTTTAACAGGTTTTTTTTTTTCACTTTTCAGTTCTTTTGCACATTTAAATGTTTGAACAAAATTTAAGACAAAAAAAGCTATTTAAACCAATGAGACAGGAAATAAATCCTGTCTCCCAAGCTCTTTTAATTTAAGTATTAAAAGTGATTAACTCAGCATTTCTGTTTAGTTCTACTAGTTACACACACTACTGCCAGATTCTCAAGAAATCAGCTCAAAAGAACCTGCTTGGCAATATGAAGCAGGTTTCTTTTGATGCCTTCAGTAAAGGAAATTGAAGATTGGACATAATGGCCTGGAGAAATAATCAAAACATTTTTTTTTGCTCAATTTTTAAATTAAACTGATTAATCATGTTTGGAACTTGCTTGTACTTTGTTTTGTTTTTATTTAGTGTTATAATGATCCAATTTGACTGGGTTTGATAAAAGTGACCGTTCTTCCTAACAGGTCACTTTTAACTACCAAAAACATGGACCCTTTTCTTTGGCAGTTGTTTTTCCCCCCACCAGGATGTTTCACATCTATATATGCGGCATAAAATGCTCGATAAATCAGAACAGTGCCAAGTATCCAATACGCTTCTCGTATCCTTCGGTAAAGTAACGTTTATTAGTTGGATCAAGGCAAATCCACCGATACTTTTGTGCTCAAAGGCCTTTTTAGGTAAACTGAACATCCTTGTGATTTTGTTGTCAGAGGCTTGGCGATACTCAGATTAAGCATTTAATCTGGAACTTAATTCCAGAAGCATACTTCTTAATTTAGATTAAAAGGTTTCAGCTTTTCAAAGCAGTACAAACCTGACCATCTTTTATTGTTTCAACTGTTGCAGAGGTGGACCGAGAGCGAAACGGAGAACTTAATTCAAGGGGTCAAGAAGTTTGGCGAGGGGAACTGGAGTAAGATAAAGGCGTACTACTCCTTTAATGAGCGCACCAATGTCAACATCAAAGACAGGTGGCGGACATTGAAGAATAAAAAAGTGGTTTAATTTCATTTTGTAAGATTTTCTTTTTTTTTTTTTTTTAATTCAAAGTTCAGTCCAGAAACTGTTAAGTTTGAATCATTTGTTTCCGTTTAGAAGTTTTTTTTTTTAACGAGCTGTAAAAAAAAAAAAAAGAAAAAACTGGATTAATTTGTCTATTTCTTGCTAAAGGAGTCATCCATGCTTAAGCAGTCTTACTTTAAAGGACTTTTGGAAAAGAATGGCACAGATTACAGCCCTGTGCTTTAAAGCATCTTGGTTTTCACAGGTAATAAATGACCAACAAATACATAAAAAGGCCAGTGTTTTTATTACGCCTGCATTAAACTTGTGATTGGTAAAGATATGAGGTCCCTGGTTCATGCTAAAATCCCCAGTTTATCATGGATAAAATAAAAGCGTAATCATAAAACCCCAATCACTGCAAGAGTAGGATAATTGGTTTATTAAGAGAAAAACATTTAGAGGGAAAAAAAAACAGCACCACCACCTTCGATTTGGTGATTTTTTTTAAAGGAATCCATAAAAGACTCCACATATTCCAGGTTTGCAATATAAAAATAACTCAATAGAAACATATCGGCGTTGTGGGACTGCAGAAAAATATTCTCCAGATGTGGATCCCACAGCAAGAAGAAGGCGACGCTCTCATCCCGCCAAGTCACAGTGAAATGTCACGTGGGCAAAACGAGGGGCTGTGACCTCCAGCTGTTCTGGACCCACATTTCTAAATGAGAAAATGAAAAACTGTCCATCCAGATGCAGGGAGTTTATGTCAGCGTGTCCTCGCTCCTGATGAACTCCCCCACGTCGGCCTGGTGGAACACAACGATGGACATGGGATCTACTCGCCGACATTCCTGTGTGGACTTGGCTGCTACTCCAAAACCCTGACAATAAAAGCAGGGAACATTCAAAGCTTTAGGTGAAGCAAGAACTTGGATACATTGTCTAATTTAAGTGAAAATCCCTCTGCTTCTAGGACAGTTTATGTTTAGTATGTCAGAAATTATTCTTAACCATTGAAAATTGTGAGGGTAAATTTTTAAATCATGCTAAATGCTCTCTGGAGCAGCTGTTTTTCAAACATGGAAAAACAGCAGCTCTCTGCAGCAAGTCATGGTTAAAACAAATGAGCTCAGAAATGACCTGCACTCAGCTCTGTTACCGGCTCCAGGGCCACATTTATAGCTAAGCAAAATTGTTTACACCCTAGCCAGATCATGAAAATAGAAAACTACACCAAGGTTTTCAGCAATATTAGATAGTTGGATAAGTATTTTTATCTTGGGCAACATTGGAGGTTTCGGCATGCCAGCGATTCTTCCCTCTCTTGCAAGATGCCTCTGTCATTTCCAGCAGGAAAACAACTTCTTGCTTAAAAATAACTTCAGATGTAGCAGTATAACTTTGCAAAGGTAGTTTTTAAAAATGTTATTTTTCAGCAGCTATTGACAAGTGCCAAACTTCAGAGTGAGTTGCTATTGTTGCTTCTGTTACATCATCAATTAACAAGCGTGAACTAATCCTATTGAACGCCTTGCAATCCTCTGAACGGCACTGACTTTTCTAGTCCTTCTAGAATAGGCTGAACTTTAATTGTTCAAAGAATGCTGCCACAGAATGAGGCGGACTTTTTAAAGTCACCTTATGGTAACCCAACTGAGCCTTTCCAGTCAAAATACTTTTGAAAAACAGGGTCCACATTCAAGTATTTTAAATGCAAAACAGTGGGAGTCAGAAATAAACTTACCAAAGGTACATCAGCCATGGAGTAAACCACAACTCCTTGATACTGCATCGTGTTTTCAGTAATTCTACCGAGGCCAGACTTCAGCACATGGTTCCCGTACAAGAAAGACTGCTCTGCTCCAGGTTTCACCCACACCTTGAACTGAGGACATGATAGTTTCAGATCATGTACGTCTGCTTTCAATTTTAACCAGTGTTGTCTCTGTTTTATCTCTACTCCAACTGGCATGGGAAGGAATCGTGCAGAGCATACACACCTTTGCATAGGGAGCCAGGAAGTCCAGAGCTGTGATGTGCAGGCGGAACTTCTTGGTCTTTGTGAATTTTCCAAAGCATGTTCCCACCGAAATAAGTTTGTCTCTGGAAAAGTTTGTGGTCAACTTGAGAATTTTCTCGCTGTGGACAGAGAAAGTAGTTCTCTATAAGATTCTCAGTTAACCAATGGCAAAGCTTTTAAGGGAGAGATGAGGAAAAGAATGCTGTTATCAGGAAAAAGAACATTTAAGCCAGAAAAGCACTTTGTTACACATAAGACAAAATAGAAAAATGGTATTCATTCGATATTTAAGTCAGCTCAAAGACTGAACATGATCAGTTTCAAAAAGATACAAATTTAACAACCATAATAGACAAGATCAGAAGATTTTGTCTTATTTAGCTGTGATAAAAGCTTTTTTACATTGTATGTATGGTGAAGAAAGTTGTTCTAGATGGTCATTTACAGTTATTTACAAAATGTATAAGTATATTAAATAATTTTTAATTAATGGCTTTTTAAATGAATGAGAAATGATTCTCTGATATTGAGAACTCCTTGGAGGAAGTACTTCCGTATATGTGAAAAACAGGTTTTGAACAATTTGAAACATGCCATCACAAAATACGTGAACAGCATGGAGCTCCATGTGCTAATGAAATAATTATATATTTGTATTAACCAATAATTACCTCATGTAGTATACACGGTCTTGATGTAGCCTGAAGCAATAGGTGCCATCGGGTCGGTCAACGAGAAGCTTAATGTTTTCCCCTATGCTTTTTGGGAAAGACATACAGTGATCACATGAATGCTAACATGCAAGCTAATACATATTATTGAAAGTTGCTCCCTTCCGGGCCAATGAAGATAATTTTAAGCTCACTTACTACTTTGATAGCTTCTCAAACATCGTTTTTGTCTCCTCCTCAGTTAACGGTCTCATTTTAGGATGTAAAGCCGTCTATTTTAGCTGGGAATGTGGGGTTTTTAGTCCGTAGAGGGGTAAAAACGTGGGTACCAGCGGAAGTAGTCACACTTTAAAGCGGAACTTGTCTTACGTAAACAGTCGGCACAGTTCCGGGTTTTTGGGGTATTCTGCTTTCAAGTCGAACTTGCCTTTCCCTCCGGTAAACCGACCACCTTCTGGTGAGTTTAACCTCTTAAATTTAAAATTAAAACGCCTTATGGATAGTTGACATGTTATTAGCAATATATATACGGACGCTTGTTTATTTTCAACCTAGTTTTACCTTCCTATTCTTGTCTTGGTAATCGGAAATGAGCTCAGTTAGCCTAGTAGGCTAGTAGCTGTCAAGAGGAAAAAAAACTCAGCTTCGGGTGCTAGCGAGGTTAGCATGTGAGCTAACCGTGGTAGCAGCTGACAGTTAACCCTAGTTTGCTGTTGACAGTCGCCCTACCCACCAAATAAATTGAAATTAGAAATAAATCTTGAATCAGCGGAATAGAGTCGGTGTTTAAAATCTAATTGTAGCTGTCACATTTATCATTTGAAGACGGGAGTCTTTTTTTGCCGCAGCGGCGCGTAGTTACATAACGTTCATTTGTTTGTAAATAGCAATTACTTTCAGATCACAGGCAGTAATACTTAATCCTTTAAAGATATCAGATGCAATTAGGACCAACTTTAAGCTTCTCTGTACTCGGTGCCAGCTAAGTGTATGCTTCTCCTACGCGCTGAGTGCGCACTGTCACTTCAATGTCAGCCGAGTGTTCTGTCAGCTGCGGAGTCAGTAACTCAGTTTTGGGAGAGCGACTTTGTCAGCAAACTCTTTGCATTTGAGGGAACACTTGATCCTCCTTTCACTGCCTGTTGGGCAGCAAAAACAGCTGATCCGGTTTTATAAAATAGGTTGGCGAATAATGTGCTACTTTATACAGAAATAGCCTAGGCATCTGTAAAAGATATGAATTAACTGAAGTTAAGTTTGACTAATGTTGGAAGAGTCGCGAGGTTTACAATAGTTGTACGTCTTATTTCATCCCCCAAATATCAAGTTTAAAAAGTCACTGAACCGCCTATCAGAGTCGCAGGAAAAAAGATAAATCCAAAACATTTATTGTAACCTCATTACAAAAAAAATGTTTCTGTTCATGAATGTTTAGTTATTTTAGTCTTGTACATTTCTTTCCGGGTAAGGGATGTCGGATGTAATATTTATGACGGCTCATTGCAGGCTTTTAAATTTTCTGTTTGTTTTTATGAGGTGCAGGAATGTCCGATAGCTGTGAGTTGTAAGATGAGAGCATAATCTGAAATTACACGTTCAGCCAGTTGGGGTAAAACCACCGAGTCCCTTTAGACAGCTCAAGTATTTAACATTTGAATTAGATTGAAGTGGCTAGGCCCTGTAGGTTGAGGCTACAGGAGTTCAATTTATCATTATGCCATCCTTGTCGCTTTCTGTGTGTTTTTTTCTCATCTTTCATAGTTTGACGAAATCTTTCTTTCTGGAGTTTGTTGGCCTCATTCATTTCTCAATCAACATTTTTGAGACTTCATTAAGCACAACAGTGTTTGTCTTATCTCCTCAGTAACCCCCTAACTTTCATTCAGACTTGATAATCCAGTACACTGCATCAGCTAGAGGGAGCATTGACATTTGATCACTTGTTTGTTCAATAGGATGCTTTACTAAATCTGTAAAGCTAATAAGAGCACTGAAAATGTGCTGATCATTGTAAAACCTCCACCAGAAGCTAAAGAAACTCTTAGCTTAACAGCTTATTCAGCTTGTGGGAGAGTGACTAAGATCTCAGAAGTTGAGAGAGTTTCTCTTTTTACTTGCTTGCACGGGGTTGAACTTTTTATAGCCAAGATAAATGACATTTACATGGTGTATTGTGACAATAATCCTGAAATATTCATCTGTTGAGTGATTTTATTTTTTTTAAATGTCAAAACAAAGAATACAAGAATCAGTAGCAGAAAATAAGGGCGTTTTCTGCTGAATTTCCCCTACCACATATAAGGATCTAGTTCACGGCTAGTTGTGACACATTTATCGCAGTAATTAATTTATGCTTTTTCACTCTTCACACAGGTGTGTTCGCTCTCCTGTTATTTTTTTCTGCGGAGCAGTTCTTGTGCCAACACTTTACTCCAAAGGAACCAGCAGCTCTTCTGTCAGCAGTTTCCGGTGGGTGTTTGTGACTCTGGCAACGGCGAACAGGAAGACAGACGCTGAGAGACGTCTGAGCTGAGAGAGGAAACTGCTGCGGCTTCTTCGTCTGCCTCAGGATGACTGAGTTCTGGGTTTGTTTCAGTTGCTGCATTGCAGAGCAGCCGCAACCAGTGAGTGAGACATTTCCTCTGAAAAATAACTGTTCCTGGCTTGATGAAGCCTTTGAGTTTAAGTGGATGCGTGTCATTTTTAAGAAGTTATTCAACTGTAAGTTTTGTGCTGTGGTCGGACATGTTGCATTTTAACCTGCTAAAATAGCTTCAGATGTGAGTGGGACAAAACATGCATTTCATCTAATTTGAAGGAAGGAAGTTGTAAAATGAAACGAAATGAACATTTGTTTACAATGACTGCAGAATAATAATATATCTAGGGAGTTGGATGGAAACCAAGTAAAAAAAGGAAGAAATTTTGTACAACTAATGTTAAATTCTGCTTTTAGAGTGAAGAGGAAACACAGGGAATCTGAATAAATTTAGACCTATTGGTGCATTTGTTTAGCTCAACTTCCAGCCATTTTGAATACTATGTAATTATTAATGTTGCCACCTTCTGATTTTTAATTGTGTGTTTTTGATTAACAGAAAGTAATTTTTAGAACATTAGTCACAATTGCTGTTTGGATGTTGTATTTAATGCAGTGCCAACTTTAGTCTAAGAGGTTTGAAAGAATATATCTGTTTGCATTTTCTTCAGAAACGGCGGCGACGAATCGACCGCTCCATGATCGGGGAGCCAACAAACTTTGTTCACACCACACATGTAGGCTCAGGAGACATGGGCCTTGGATTGCCATCAGTAAGCTTCATTCACTGCCCACAGTTTAATCAAATGAACTCACCACACTGTGACCATTGCTTAACATTTCCATCTTTTTGTAGGTAGATCTTGTTCAGGCCCAGATGAAGTCTAAAGGAGGCTACACACACGGTGGCTCAGAGGGTTCTCAGTTGTAGTGAGGTGAGATGGGTTTGCTTCAATCCATTTATTTTTTTTTCTATTTGCTTGTAATTAATAGAATCTGCAGTGTAGATTATTTTAATTCTTGAGAACAAACAAGACAAATCAATTCTCCTCCTCATGTAATTTTCAAGAGTGTTTCTTATCAGAGCAGAGCAGCATTCTTGATAAAATCTGATAAGTAGGTTGCAATGTTTAATCCGGTCATCTCCTTTGAAAGCTTCCTCTGCCTCTTTTACTGCAGTGTGTAAAATAATAACAACTCAAATCAACATGTCCGCTCTGCAGACTTTCTGATACCGCAGCCTTTGGGCTTTTCGATTTAACACATGAATAAACATCTGCTGTAGAGCTAAAAGTCTTTGTTTTGACCCCACCCATGCTATGTCTCAGCATTGATGGCACACAGCTGCAAGCTGCTCTTGTGTGTGTTTGTGAGGAAACTGGAGCGATGCTCCACAACGCATTTATTCTGTGTCTGATCATATTATACTGAGAAAATTCTCCCCAAATGGGATAAAACAAAGTTTATCCCCTATTGATAAACTTTGTTTTGCTGAAAACCGTTTCAGCTTATCTTGAGACACTGACTTAGCTGTTAGTAGAATGTGTTTATGTATTTATTTTATTTTAGTATCACATATCGGGTTCTAAACCGTGACATGTCTTCTTTTTTGTTGATGTGGCACTCTGCCTTGTTTTTAAACTCCCATTTCACATTCCTTTAGTTGCTCCTCTCTTTTAATTAAACTGCTGTTTATTCAGCTGAGCTAGGATAACAATAGCATGCTTGAGAGAGAAACTGTATTTTAACTAGAGGTCTAAAAACAGAACCAATTTAACAAAACAACTTCCAATTTAATGTAGACATTGACTTCCAGTGCTGCAAATCCTAATGTTTCTTCCTGATTTTTTTCCCCCACAGCTCTTCAGACTTGTGAAAACTACTGTTGTTTTATGGAAGAATTAAAAAAAGAAAAAGAAAAAGCAGTTCTGTCTGTAACGGACCCAGGACCAAAAAATGAAACTACTGCTTTTCCAAGATTGTGTACATATTTTTTATTTTCCATTCCTCCTCTTTTTTTTTCTTTTTTTTTTTTTAAATGAAAGCACTGCTTTCCATTTGTTGCCATAATGTTGCACTGTAAGGAGCAAATGTTAAGGGTAGATTAAGGTGTTTAGAGCTCATATCGTCAGTTGGTTGTATGCTTGTGTGTATGCATGAGAAAACATTTTCAGAAACATTTGCTGTTGTAGCCCACTGGATGCCTGTAATTTATTGATTTGATTTGTGAACGGACCTCATGGTGGCTGGGCCACACTGAATATGTAGAACGTTCAGTTTCTTCTTCATTCTCAGAGGTTTATCAAACGACAGATTAAAATTAAGCGAGGCATAAAGGTTCAGATTTTTATTCTGAGAATTGCTCTTGCTTTTCTGAGTCGCTTTCAGGGTTGAAGGTTGCTGGTTTTGTAATAAACTTGAAAACGAGTGGATACACTGGACTATACGTTGTACACACACATCCTTAGGGATTTCTCTTTAGTTTCAACCATTTCTTTTTAAAATCATTCAGATTGAAGCTTAATGGAATTTTAATAACCTATGAGCTTCCTCATCTGCCTTCCTAAGTAATGTTTATTTTTTTAAATGTTAGAAGCACATTGCTGCAACAACCATGCTTGTAGTGTTTTATAGAAAAAGAAATCATTTTTAAAAACGATGCGTTTTGTTTCCGTCATTGTGCACAAACTGTAGGCAAATAATGACACTTGGTTCAAACAGATCGCAAGGGCGGACTGTTCCTCTGAGGTCGGTTAGTGTTGCAGACTTTGACAGATTTAATGTAAGTTGTTCATCCGGTTAAATGTAACTGA